CTAAGGAATCATTTGCAGAACCTATCAGCTGTGGGAGTTCACTATTATGCTTCCGTCAACTTCATTCAATATAATTTACATTTTTTTTTCAAATGGCCTCACAGGATTCCTTGCGATTTTTCGCACGTACAATTTCACAGCAGGGAAAAGGGGGAAAGAGAGAGAGAGAGAGAAAGCAAGATTCCCTACCCTCCCTTCCCCCTCTTCTTTTCTCTCCCTCTGTTTTTTAAACCAAAAAAAAAAAAAACAGGAGAGACAGAACAGATGCTTAAAAATAGATTTCTAAAAATCACTGTAAACCAGAGTTAGAAATGTAATTAACACCTATTTATAAAGAATAATTAAAGTTGGGCCGGCCACAAAGAACAGCAAAGATAATCGAGGTCCTGTCCTCCCCCCCTTTTTTACACTGTTTGCAGTGTGTTCTCATGATAGCCACCTGCTCCCTACTCGGCTTTTCCTCTGTTCGTTTCCCCGGCAACCTTTCATTGGGTTTTCCTCCCAGCTATCGCTTTCAGTTGGGCTGCTCGGTCTAATCTTATTTGTTTTACACCCATCAAAACAAGCAGCCAGACAAAGGCAATCCTCTAAGAATGGGAAAAAGACCACAGCTTTGTTATAACATCTATGCAGAGCGAAAAGTCCTCCCCAGGCTTTTCTAGCAAAAAATAAGTGAGATGGATATGAATTTACAGCCTCCCCACATACCCGGCTTTGAAACCCCGTGAAAGCTATTGCTGGTGAAATTCAAAGTCAAAGTGGGCACTCGTGGCATCTGATTGTGCCATTTTGTGCCACATCTTCAGGGTCAACATCAGGCGACAGGAGCGGCACTCAAGGAGTTTCCCTGCTTCTTTTTTTTTTTCCGAAAAAGATGACACTAAAAATAGATTTACTACTTTGGCAGAAAGGTTTTCCACTTCCCCTTCCACATCCCAAGTCCTGTTTCACAATTGCATCTGCTGGTACTGAACCTCACCTCCTCCACCCCTCGCACCCAGCCTTCCCCATCACTCCTAGCAAGAGACTGAAAAAGAAATGTGCCTTTAACTTTAACAGTCATGTAATTCTGCTGAAAGCTCATAGAGGCGGTGGACACGCCAGCCAACAGCAACGGTGACATTGTGATTGTCAAAAAAGACACCAACCTTGCTTGGCTAAATGTGTGTTCGATGGTAGAGGCAGTGTGTGTGCCTTGTGTGCATGCAGTGCCATTACACTTGGAGATGGATTCTGGCTTTCAGAAAAGAGAAATACTAATAAACACACACACACACACACGATCTGCACAGTGATTTACGATGCACAGTCCATCATCCTTACACACACACACACACACACACACACACACACACACACGGCTGGAATCTCCAAGCTGCCTTCCTCTGAATTTTCACTTACCATCTTCAAGCCATTCCACTCCATCTGTGATCAGAAGAAGATGGACCCTCACACAGTGTGTCAAAAGCGGAAAGGAACGTTATGTAAAAGCTGACATTCCTTCTTACAGAGCTGCTGCCCAGAGAAGGAAGCAACAACTCAACACGCCAGGCACCGCTACACATACAAGCCGCCTCCTCTTTTTTATGAGGTCATGACAGGAAACTCTTTGAAATACAAGATGCAGCATTTACTGAAGCCCAAATAAATCACTCTCTTTGCCGTTTTGACTGCGCAGTCCCCCGAAACACAACTGCCCATCTCAACGTTCAGTATCCAGGAACTGCCTCTCGAGCTTTAAATTTCCAGCACGGAAATGGAGATTCTTAACCCCGCTGCATCCACCTCCAGCCCCACAAAACCCAGGCACACAGACAAACCCCCTCTCCCTTACAAAAAAAAAAAATCCCTTTTCTGCCAATATGGTCTCGTGTAATATAACCTCTTTCAACAAACCAGCAATTATTTCTGCCCACCTCCCCTCTACACCACCCCCCTCCTTTATGTTGAAGGGAAAACTGACAATGACCTGTTAAAAATGACAATCCATTTCCCCACTGCTTTTCAATAAAAGGACCTACCGGCACTCTCTACACAAAAGAGATAGTAAATGTAGGAACCAAACAGCAGCAGAGAACTAAACTCTTGTGCAAGCATAAGACTGGTCAAGGTGTAGATGCTTTTCTTCCCTCCAGCAACACAAACAACAGATTATAAATCTAGTCATACCTACCATAACCATTCTTATTGGCAAATATTGGGTCTCGCAGAGCTTCGACTCTTCTCTTAAAATTTGCAAAGGTTTCAGGATATATTTTTTAAATGACTACTATTGTTATATATATTTAAAGATCCACAAAACACAGTGTGGACGATTGTAAAGTAAATCAATTATTTGGGGGGAGGGGACAGGGGGGAGAGAAAGAAAAAAAAAAGAAAGAAAAGGAGCAGTGAGCTGAAACCCCCGATTCTAGAATGTAGATAAGAACAACTGAACAGAGCCTTGCTGAAATTGGCTCGAAGCTTCCCCTTTTTACATCCATTTATGGGACCATCTGTCAGCCGAAGCCAGGATCTGATTGGCTGGGGAAACGAAGGGAGGCGTTGCAACATCAGGTGCTATTTAAATTAGCTACTGCCAGATTGACGATGTTAATGATTTGGTGACCTCTACAACAACAGAGACCAGATTTCTGAACTGCTTCTTGTGTCTGGTAATTAAGGCCAGGCTGAAGCAACAACAGCCATACTTGTATTTTTACCTTTTCCCTCCTCCTAGCTCAAAAGTACTGTAACAACTGCAGGTCATCAGCCGGCTGCTTGCAAACCTTACCAGTGGGAGTGTCCTCCCTTTCCCCTGTCCTGAAGCCTGCCCCACCAAACCCCTTTGACAGAGGGCTTTTCCAGTACAAAATATTTTCAAGCACCTTATCTTTCTCGACAGTTGCTTTCTAGCGAAATGCATATTTAATGATCTGCCTCTAGGCTTAAAGATACAACAAAAGCACTTTAATGTGCTAATACATCTACATTTTAACTTTATTATTTCCTAATATTGCTGATTTTTAAGAAGTAATGCTCCTTCTGCAGCTAATATGGCCAGCATTTCAAGAGAAAACAAGTTTGAAATTGTGTTTGCTCCGCGAACTGGGTTCCTACAAGTTTGCTTCAGAAAACTACTTGCTAAAAAAAAAAAAAAAAAAGCTGGGGGGGGAGGTGGGGGGCAGCTGTCAGCCTCTACCTTTCTGCCTTCTGTCTGAGCTTTTCAAAACAGAGAATGATGAATGATTTATTTAAATGAATTTATTTCTCAACTTGGATAGGGGCATGATCTGAATTTTTAAAAATGCACTAAAACACGTTCTCTCTTTGCTTTCCCCATGCTCTAAAGAATGTAAAGCATGCTTTTGACAACAGCATCATTTCATGACTGGTGCAGAGTGCATATCTTGCTGAACTGAACTCGTGATTTTGCTTTTCTCCTTCAAAAGATGTCTTTTTTCTTTGGTCTCTTAAAAGACTTGCAAAGAGACATTTAGAAAGTGTGTGGTGATGTATACAGTTTGCATACCTATGTTATACATTTCATAACCTCCACAATACCAGTCTTCAATAGTGTAGTATTTTGTTCTGGTTTGGGTTTTAAAGTGGCTTACCTGAGGAGTTTTTGCTTTACTTCTATCCAAAAAGCTAACTTACTGCTATTTATTTAATTCATAACTTAGTCAATTTGTTCCTCAATGAATACATAGAGGTAACAAATATTACTAAAGAAATAATTCAACATAATTTTAAATCTTTGGCTGGAGTTGACAGGAGATGGGACTGGGCAGAATAAAAATATAGACCGAAAATCATGCTACACTCTGGGCTTCAAGTCCAAGAATAGTTGTGTCTGTGAAAAATTATTAGAAAAGAAAATAACTTTTGCGTTAAAAAAAATAAAACTATTCTCTCCCAGCTACTATTTCACGAACACACACACGTAAATATACATAGATATGCACACTTTTAAAAATACAGATATACCACAAAACAAAATGTGTTGGGTACACTTTATGGAGAATTAGACTTGAATATAAATACATTCAGCTGTTAGAAATAAAAATCCATGAAATAGAAAAGTAGAAATGTTAAAACTATAACCCCTTCGAGTGGAACAAGACTGAATTAAGTAAACTTTTAAAATAATTTCTCTAGCAAATATACAAAGAGTCCTACTGAGTCACAATAGTACTACAGTATCTGCTGAACTGTGTTCTAGGGATGAATTCATAGGTTAAGTGTTCTAAAGAACTCAACATACAGACACAGGGCAGGTACAGATGCCCCAAATCAATGACAGAAACTCTGAGTGCGATCTCCACAATACAGAAATATTGTGAGAAGAAAACCATGAACACAATGCTGACAAACACACAAATGAAAACAGCTTGCTCCAGAACAAAATATTTACTTTGTTTTTCTCTGGAGGTTAGAAAAGTCAGAATTTCTTAAACCCATTCTCCCCCAACCATACTAATCTCAGCACACTTTGTGAGCCATTAATTACCATTAGGTATATCAAAAGATGTTCTGGCCACTCTTCTGAAACAGGAACTGTATATTACAGTATAAATAATTAGCTGGTTTTGCCAGGTTAAAAAAACCCCATGCACTTTGTATATTGATCACTTCTCCAAAAAACCTCCACTCTAAAGTCTTTCAATGGAATCCTCAAACAAATGCACGAATGTCCTCAGAGGCCTTTTCTCTAAAGACAAAGGCAGAATCCTATTGTTGGGAAAAGTCAACCTTATTATTGCATTTCCAATAGTACCATTCATCTTTCAGAGTGAGGGGCTGACCGCTCCATCAGTGGTGTGACATTTGTAAAGCAACAGATTCTCAATATATTATCTCAAGAATCAGGCAGGCAAGTCTCCCAGTCATGCATGATTTTTTTTTTCCTGCCACAATCCTCCACCACCACAGAAACTTGTCTCACTCAGGCAGCTAAGCCAACCTAAAAATGATATCCCAAAGCTGTGGGGCCGCTAGCGCCGCTGTATCCCTCTTACCATAAATGAGCAGTTTCTTGACTCATTAATAACAATTTCCCTTAAAAGAAGGAATCTCATATCGGTCAACCCCTTGCCACCATGCACACATCCCAAAGGTTGCGGACATGTCAGCATCAGTCGCCGGCAGCCAGCTTTCCCACACAGAGTCCAGATGGACTGTACCAGAAGCCAATTCAGCGTTAATAACTACCTACTCCGCGCAGTGGAGAAGCCTTACGTGGCACAATGGGCTAGGAAACAGCAGCCGGCTGAAACTGCAAATAAAAAAGACAAACCAAATTCTCCAAAAGCACCAAAAGGAAGGAACAGAAAGGGAAGCGTGAACTGTATTCCTTGACTTCCATGAAGAAAAAAAAAGGAGAGAAAAGAGAAAAGAAAAGGAAAAAGAATCCTTCATAAACAGGGGGGGGGGGATGAAGGGGGTTTGGAAAACAGATGCTGCCCAGAAAAAAGTGACAAAATATTACCTCATTATTTAACAAAGCAGCATTAAGCGTCCTGCTGATTTCAAACATCTTGCCACAGATTTTGTTTTAAGAGAAACAGATAGAATCCTTTGCAAAGCACTCCGTCTGCAAAGGGTTCTTCAATTTTCTTGCGCGCCACGGAACAGTCAATATATTATTTCCCTAGAGTTCGCACATTGAAACCTCTAGTCAGTGAGCTGAATTTCCCTTATCTCACACACAGTAGACTCCTGTTATATGTACTGCTCTCTTTTGCAAGAGCAGCCTGCCCCAAACATGGCTGGTGTTAAACTACTCTTTAAAGTAACAGTTCACTATATAACCACCAGGTGGGTAGAGTGCACAGATTCAAATGAACCATCTTAAAGGATTGTGTTGTTGTTGTTGTTGTTGTTTCTCCCTTTAGGTGTAGAACGTAACACGAGAAACTCCCACATCCCACATCCTAACAGGCTTCGTGTCTTGTATCTCTCTGTATCTTGTCAAAATAAATAAATAAAATTCCTTCTCCTGACTTATAGCGAGAAAACAAAACAAAACACCATCACCAATTCTAATAAGAACTGTGAAGAATGAAACACAAACACGCTTTGCTTCATTCAGCAAAGGATGAACATGGAAAATCCAATCAACACAGAGCAAGGCAGGGGGGTGGGGGGGTGTACCAAAAACTCCACGGAAATATTTTCCTTTAGCAAAAAGAGAAAAATATTGACTCACGTGATAAAAACCCAATTCAAAAGTAAACATATGGAGGAAGCACATACAAGATGGAGGCAAGAGTTTAAGGGTGAAACTTTTCTTCTGAGTAAAGCATTAGGTTTATTTGATAGGGTCTTTCATGATAGGAAATAACCCAACAGCTTTTTAAAAGACACTGGAAAAAAAAAATCTAAAGCATCTCTTTTAAAAATGCAATTATACGAATAGCTATTAACAACCACAAGAGCAAAGTAATCATATATCTCTCCCCAGTCCTGTTCTTTTTCCTTAAGATCTGCCTCAAAGTGGAACATTTCTGTCCTATGTTATTTTGGGTATATAGCTAACTTGGTGTCTCCTTTGTACAATTCTATTCCAATTAATCTGCTCCTGTGCCAGGAATAAACAGAATGTCCCAAGCTGAAAACCCCAAGTGATGGAGGGTGGATGTTCAAAGATAAAGAACGACCTGGACAAAAATAAATCTCATCCCTTATATTGTTCTATGGCCTGATTTTAAGGAGGATTTTATTACAGAGCGTGCATCCACTCTTCTACATTCCCTCGTATCTAAAAGAGAAACCAACACATACAGATACCTGGGATTTTGTTTTCTTGGCCAGACAAAATTAAAGCCCCGGAACTTCCACATCCTCTTGCAAACACAGATGTCGATACTAGTATCTAGTATTTTTCCAGCCCATCCAGGCAATATTTAGCCACACACAACAGTGACTGTCTCCTTCATCTTTAAGTCAAGGCTGCATCACTTAATACCATTTAACCTCCTCGCATATATTAAGTTTCAAGTGACAATTTTTAACTGGGGAATGAGAAGGAGGAGTTGCTCTCATCAAATTCTGGTTGTATGAAATAAGCTAATTTGTACACTCACCATATGTCTTAAACACTAATTAAAAAATGTCACTTTCTTCAAACATTAAAATGTAATCAGCCTAGTAAATAAAATATTCTCAAGTTTTCTTGCCTTGGTGATAATTTAAAGAGTGTTTATCTCAAGGTAACTTCTCTATTTTGATTACCAAGAAAGGCTTTTGATTTGAAAAGGGGAAAAAAAGGAGATATTGAGGGCTTGGGGAGTGAGAAGAGAAAACCACAACTGTACGTAGCAGCACAAAGGAAAATAAGATGAAGCGGGGTTTTAAGGACCATAGTCTTGTTACCCTAAGGCAAATCCAGCCAATCAATACCACCCATTGACGGTCTACCATCTGCCGTGCTACCCAGCGATGTGGCTAAACAGACCTGTTCCATATGACCGTAGCCGGCTCATTTTCAGTCGATTAGGGCAGTTCCAGAGCATTCACCAGCAATAGCACAAAACTCCAAGTCTGACTGAGCCTCTCTCTTCACACCAGTCCCTCCCAGCACAGCTGCAGACCTTTTCCTCCTGTTCTGGGTGTCTGGATTATCTCTTCTTGCCCCTTAATGGAATTAGCAAAATAGGGTGGGAAGGTAGAGCAAACAGACACACACACACACACACACACACACACACAGATAATTGCTGGCCCTTCTTCACTGTCATGCAGAAAATCGGGAATTCCATGTGCGCTGCCCTAATATGATTATGGCACACCATTTAAATAGCATCATCAGTGTCTATGACCTGACATTTTCCTGTAGTGCTATTTCTTTTTATCTTCTCCCTCTTCCCTTGAAAACTAAACCTAAACTGCTGGCATTTCTTTCTTTAGAGAAAATACAATCAGTATGCCCAGACAATGGTATACTTATTTAAGGGTTTTTGATAAAACTTAAAGCCTAATTTTCCTTCGATGAATTGTGGTATTGGTTTTGTTTTTTGTTTTTTTCCTGTGAAAACCATTAAATCAAATTTTATAGGAAAATGCAAACTTACCCCACAGAGGCAAGAAAGATGCACCAGACTGACACGGACTCTACTGGAAGGATCGGGAATGTACTGTCGAAGTTCTCTTAGAGATATATGACCTGACTATACGATGCTTTTCTCTTTCCTAAGTAGTTTCATCTACTATGGATTGCAGGAAAGAGCTACAAGAATGCTACCATGTGGGAAAATGTGACAAATGGATGTCTAGTCCACTTACATTGCCAAGAGTTCACCTGTGTAGGTAAACTAACCTCCAGGTGGATTCATACTTGATCTTCCTGTTTTCTTTCCATGCTCCTGAGCCTTACATAGAATAGCAGCTGAAAGCAGAAGGTTTCTTTCCAGAATCAATGTACACTTTTTCACTTTGACCATACCCTTAAAGCACGAGGATATCTTTCTGGGAAAGGAAATTTAAAGGACAGGAAAACTGCCTGACTTACAAAATTTCTAAAAAAGGTAAAAACACATTAACAAAAAAAAAAATCTAATTTAGGTGGAGTCCCTGTCTGGACTTTTCACTGTTATATTCTTCATCATAGCCTATGAAAACTTAGTAGGGTCAATGTGCAAACACACGGAGATTTCTGAAGATCCCTGCTTTAAAGGATTTGAGGCCTTTCCATTTCAGTTCAGATAAGCTTCACTAAAAATTAAAAATAAAAAAAAGAAACAAACAAAAAAACCTTAGTATAAATATAAATCTCTATAAATCAAAGGCCACTGAGCCAGATAAATACAGAGTAGCCATACCATCAAAGGATACAGTGTTTATCCAGATTAATACTGTTTTGAAAATAATTCATTATAGAGTTTTTTAAAAGATTTTATTTATTTATTAGAGAGAGAGACAGTGTGAGAGAGAGAGAGAAAGAGGAACAAGCGGGGGTGGGGGGGAAAGGGCAGAGGGAGAGGGAGAAGCAGGCTTTCCACTGAGCAGCAGTGGAAAGCCTGGTGCAGGGCTTGATCTGGGGACCCTGGGATCATGACCTGAGCTGAAAGCAGACACTTAACTGACTGAGCCACCCAGGCGTCCCTCAATATATATTGATATATTGAGGGATATATAATATATATAATCACTCATTTATAATTCTGTAACTATAAATAAACAGATGTACAGTATTGTAAAAAGCAAGGAAGGTAATTTGTAGAAAGAGGAGGAGAAGGAAGGAAAGATAAAGGGGAGGGGAGGGAGGAGAAAAAGAAATAAATAATAGGATTTATAACAAAGTACAAACAAAACCTATTTTTTACCAAGAGTCTTATATACTGAACACTACAGTAGACATTTGACATGCACAATCTCACACGACATCATAGTGGTGACAAAAGTTATACGGAAGCATTCTTCTAGAAAGACGTTTTCCTCATCTAAAAGTAAGATCTCCCCTCCATCGCTTCATAGAAGAATATGCTTAGTCAATATTTGTTGAATGAATGAGGAAGATGGGTACAGACTAGAAGAGAAAGAAAAACATGTAATTTTTTTCTCATCTAAAAATGACCAAGAGATTTCTTTGTGATGTGCTTCTAACTAAGCATGTCGTCAAAATGTATTTCATTTAATCTATCATTATGACCAGGCTACATGTGAAGTGAGAGAGACACAAAGGATTAAAGCGGGAAGCAAAAAAAATCTTAGCAGGTAGGATGAGTTCCTGATTAAGTCTTCATTCCTTACTTCTAAATCTGGCAAAACTCCTTACATAGAGGAGTTGCTCAGCAAACACTAGCTGGATGAACTTCTATGTCTTTAGCCCCTTACAGGACAGAGCCTGGCTCCAGGCAACACTCAATTACGAGGAAGGAATAAAGTTCAACAATTCCATTCAACATCACCTCAAAAACTATCCCAAGGCCTATTTCATGTGATTCAACTAGGGGGCGCTGAACACCATCTTAAGGGAAGAAATAAGCTGTCTCCCTAAGCTTCAGTTTCCTCATCTGTAAAATGGGCACAATACTTCCCTTAAGGTTTGTTGCCAGGATTAAAACAGATACAGGCTTGGTGGAGGCAGTGCTCTAAATGGCACCTACTATAATTAATAGAGAACAGGGAGAAACTG